CATAGCCGCAAATGTTCTTTGATCCGTGCGTCTCTCCGATACATTGCTGTTTACAGTCCCTTTAGTTTATGCTGTCAACTCCGGGGCCCTCCATTTGGTCGACTACTTCATGTTGTGCGGACAAGTTGTGGGATAGGGTTGTCCTATCCTTAAGGATTGCACGAATAATCCATGTCACCAGTATCGGACGCAGCTCTCGAGCCAATTCACACGATGGTAGACATATCCATCGCTTTTCCTCTGTCCCTCTTGCTGTCTTTTCATAATCTCCGTGTTTCCCCTCTCTTCTTCACCATCCGTATGTTGCGTCTCATTGCTTCTTCTGAATATCCATTTCCAAGACACATCTGAGTTGGTTTTTCCTGTTCGTCTTCCCAAAACTCACAATTGGTAAGTCGCAGGCTTCTCATGATCACACTCCGGAACATTCCAATCTGCATTCCACAAGTGTGCTATTCACGCGTGTGGTTGCTTCCGGAATAGTCGTTTATTAAATCGCTGTTGAGCCAATAGCCTAAGCATTCAAGAAGAGAAAATGTCTGTTCTCTTCCGTGTCCATTGGAAATTTGATCATCTCATCCGTGTCGTTGAAAAAAGATAAGCAAATCGTCCAATTTGTATGTTCATTGCGACCAGATTGCGAAGCAGTCATCCAAATGTTGCATAATTACTGTTGGTTGTTGAGGTGACGCTTTTAAATTCTCCTCCAACTGTATAATTAGCCCATAGGCAGACGGAATATTTGCTCATTAATGCGGCCGTCGAACTGAAAATGTATAATTCCTACTGTGACGTTGATTAATTGGGTGAAAAACTGTTTCCAGATCCGCTCCGTCTCCAGGATGTCATCTTCTATTTCCAAGATTTCCAGTTAACAAACAACTGTGATAACCCATACCCGAGGCCACAACATCTTGGTCTTCACATCTTCAATTTAACTGTGATAACCCCCACCTCCCCACTAGACAAGTCTAAAGTTGCTATGGCGAGGGAGCGAGGGTTGGTAGATGTATCAGGACAGGAGTGACAAGACAACCAATCGGCAGAGAGTTGACCAAGGGATGGACTTTACTTGTCTCTGACGTGTTGTAGTTCGGTCCAAGGAATGACAAACCGCAACGAAACGTTTTTTAATGTACCAAGGCCAGGCTCCGAAACTGGGAATCATCACAAGTACTAAAACAGGCGATTTTGGACAAGATGCGTCCAACTATGCCAACCCCCCTGAAGATACGACGGTCCAGGAAACGAAGTCAGATCACGTCTATAAAGCGAAAGGAGATTGTGGCCAAAGCAAAAACTACCTCACCTTGGTATTCACGTGTACGAATAAAAAAGAAATTTGCCCTAAAAAGAAATAAATAAACAAGAAATGAACAAAGAGGAGAAAAGTTATTCAGAGCAAGTACTGTCTTTATAGTTTGTGGTGTTGATAACGCATATTGAATTGAAAGGTGGTCGAGTATTAAGAAATTCGAAATAAAATAATTACCAAAAACGTGTACACTGTTATTCGCAACTTACGAATCAAAGCCGGTACTAATGAACTGCTTTTCGGCTAACTCCTTCATGAATAGATCGTAGGCAGATACCGGTTTTGGGCACCATTGGCAATGAATAAGACGACGAAGAGTGTCGAGCTCCTGAAATAAAATAAGGAATTGAAGAAATAAAATAAATCTTATTGGTAAACTGAATTCTAATCTTGTCAATTGAAGTTGATGCCATCAAAAAAAGAGTTTGGCCATGTTAGGATGAGAAATGTATGTAAGAAATGTACCAAACAAATCGAGTTCAAAATGAAATGACAAACAGAGAACAAAGTAGATGATGAAAGGTATCCCAAAAACAAGTTGGTGCTCATAAAGCATGCTTGACATGAAGCGCATTAGAGAAGCGAGGTGCTGCCAGGGGCAGATCAACAGTGACGACAGAGCCACCACTCAAGTGCATATAAGCAAGCAAATATTTGAGAAAAATCGTCTACCAAGACATGCATTGCTGCATTAAATGCACTGCAAAATATGAAAAAGCTATTTCGTCCAATTCGGAGTTTCATTCGGTTCCGATAATAACCGAATGTGCCTTTGTACATTAAATATTGTTATTGCGACTTCAAGCTCATAAATAGTCGAGAAAACCCAAAAGGCATGTCTTTAGCCAATTTTTTATGATAAACTCAGTCGTTTACATGTTAGAGTAGAGTTTCGAGACTACCAGTAAATCAGTAGTATGAGACGTATTCATCCTATTTCGTCTAAGGTGATGAAGGGCTGATAGTAGAATTTTCCCACAATGATATGAGTTGAGCTTTATGATAACAACTTTTGGGAAAGCAAGGCTATATAAAATTCAATGCAAACGTCAGCTCAACTCATCATTGTGGGAAAATTCTACTACCAGTCCTTCGTCACTTTAGACGAAATAGAGTGAATACATCTCAGAAGTTTACAGATGGTTTGATCTCGTTTTGCCAATTTGATGGTGTTGTCAAGGCGACTTGGTTTGGAGCATCCAGTCCGAGGTCTTCTATTATGGCAGTTATCATAATATATACGAAGAAAAGTTAAGTTTCGAGGAATCTCTTGTTTCATAATTGTTGGGCTTACTTCCATTTCGAGTAG